CTTTAAATTATTCCCATGGTAAAGCAAAGTAGAGTCAACTTTTTCTCAGATGTAAGAGTATATCTTATGTGGTTTATTGCGGGAACATTAAAAAAGTTTTACATTATTTAGAAGAGCCAGAGCAGAGAAAAATAGCACTTACTTAACTTCCTTGGGAAAACATTTTGACCCCACCTTAAACTGCAGAACATCCAGTGACTCAACATAATAGCATATATTTGGAACTCCTCAACTCCTAAAGATTGCACTACAGACAAGGAAGCTGCAGAATAATTTTACATTCTGGATTATCTTAAATTCATATCCATCTATTTAAAATCAGAAAAGGTCCATTAAAATAGATGTATATAAACATTTAATTCAGAATATTACAAGGGGTAAAAGCTGGTTTGAAACTTCTGGGAGCTTGAAAATTCTTGATAAACAGAATTAATAACCTCCAAGCAGCTTTGAGAAAAATATCTTCGTATCAGAAAGACATTATTGTCTTCTGGAGTAATGGGAATTAATATTTACTTATGCAAAAATGCCTTGAGTTCCTACTATGACAAAATGTGATGTAGGCTATAAGAGAGTATTAGTCATCTACTATACTTATTTAAAATACTTCAAGACACTCACATTGGCATCTGATTAAAAAAGCCACATTAATTTGTTACCTTATCTGTTAATAAAATTGATGGTTTAAAACAGGCTAAAGCAAACATTGTGTATGCAGATGAGATTAATTCATTTCTGAGTATAAGTGCATTTCCATCATGTTGTTCTGACTGTGGCTAGCACAAGAACCTCTGGTGTTTCTGTTCCCTTCATAGCTAAAGGCTCTCAGCTTCAGAGTCCCCTTCAGCGTAGAGGAAATGGAGTAATGTTACAACTTTCCATTGCATCTTCCAGCATATACATGTCAGAAATTATCATACATTTCCAAGTAATTTGGTGATCAATAATACTTGAAGATCTTGCAATTCTGAAGGGTAAATCTGACTACATCAGTCAGACAATTTTAAAATTTGAAATTAAGTATGAAATATTTGAAAGTAAATATGAAACAATGGAAAAAACGAATAGAGAAATTCTAAGGAACAGCTGTTTTTGAAGTTATAAAAAAACTCCATGCACAACATGAAGGCAAAGAATATCCTGCAATTCTTGAGCAGGCACCAACAGGCAACTCCTAGCCTAATTACTGACCTAGACTCTTCCTTTACATCACTACCCTAAAAAATCAGGCAGAGTTATTTTGGAGAAAATAACAGACTGATCATTAACTGAAAACAGAAATTACTGTAACAGTAAACTATTCAGCATTTTATGATGAAAACGTGTTCTCTGAAAACAGGATGCTCTTTAGCATACAAATTCTCAACTGCTGATTTATGTTCTTTGCATTTTCTTTTAGAACAGAACACCCTAAAAACAAGTTAATTTAAACTGATGGAGAGATTCAAAACAACTGCAGCAGAGCTAAGGTATGGATTTGAAATCTAATATAAGATGATTAGAAGCCCATCATACAGAAACTTTCTGAAAGCACTGGATTTGGATACATTTTGTAGCCATACTGTTTAAAGCAATCCTTTCAGAGTTGTCTGATCAGCTGTTCCTTCTGGATGACCTGCCAGCAAATGAACAGCAGCAGCAGTCCTAACAGCAGTAATAAAACCTTCTGGGATCAGTGCATCCCAGAATTTTTCTCAGCATTATTATAATAAGAACCTCTAGATTTTGTACATGTATACAGAAATAAAATACAGAGAGCAATTTTAGTGGGAAAAAAAGCAGAGAACACACAAACTGACAAGGTAAGCCTGTGAAGGCAGCAGCATGGCCTCCAAATAACAATAAAAAATAGACTATAGGAGAATTTTCTTCTAATAAGATATTGGAAAAAGAGTCAAACTGTTTCATATTTCAAGTCATGTTTCAAAAAATTAAGACCTGATTACAAGAAAGTAAAATAATATTTTTAGGAGAAAATTATCAGCCCATGCATTCCAAAAATGATTTTTTTAAAGCTGTCTTTTAAAACTTCTAAATGGTATCTCAAATTTTTTTTCTTGGTCACTATCCAATCATGTTTCAATTATTACACAACTGTCAAGCTTTGTGGTTGATTAAACAATTAAGCAATTAGAAAGAAAATTTAAGTCTCAAACTTAAGAAGATTGTTCTGGCAAGAAAATGAGAAGCAAAACCAATAACCTTTACAGTATCTTTTAAGTTTTGAGGTTAAGCTAATATCCTGCATATTGAGGTTGTCTTTATTAGCTCAGGTAAAGCTCTTATGCTAAAATTAAAAAAACTTTGAATGCAAAACAAAAAGCAAAGTTCAGTTTTAGATAATGAGAAAGCAAGCAGAATGCCCATAGTCAATTTGCCTCCTTCAAAAAAGAGAAAAAATTGGCTTTGGTTTTAATTTAGTTTCAGTGCCATATCCAAGTAAATAAAAGAGCATTATTATTTTTTTAAACATACATTTTTCATTCAAAAATGAGAAAAATACTTATAATAGAGAAGAATCAATGTGTAATAGTAATCTGTCAATCCCAGCAAACTGTTTGAGAAAAGCTGAGCAAAGACAACAGGAACCTCTTTTTTGTGAAGAGATTATCCTTGCCTTTTACACTCATGAGGAATTATTTTCTTTTATTTTGAAAAACCTTATTAAATATCACAGAATTGATAATAAAGTGGAAAAACAGAATACATAGAGGACCAGATAATTGTTCCATAAATCTCATACCTGATATCAGCCAGTGGCCAACATCAGATTTTTCAAAGAAAAATTACTTCTACAATTCCTTCTTAGGAATTAAAGGTTTTAATACAGTGCCAGGCACTATGGAACAGCCACTCAATTGTAAAGATATTTCTTCCCTAAGGTTACTCAGAATGTGAAGTTCTCTAAAATCTACACACATAGTCACTCTGCCTTGTTATAATCCAGGCCAAAACCAGCAACCCATCTTTGGGAACATTTGGCAAAAATAATGCATGGCTCAAGCCCCAGACCTTCAACTGTCAGTCAGTCAACACTTAGCTCAGATCCTTTGAAGAACTTTACCAAAACAACGATTTAAGGATAAATTAGGCTTATAACATCAGAATGTATAAAGTACATGTGCAACAAACTAAAAACCTAGCCAAGAATGTCCTGCCAGCTAGTTTTACCAAGCTTGATTTTCTTTCATCACATTCTCTCTTTTCCAGTCTGAACCCAGCTGTTGGAAGCTATTTGATGCTCTTTAGGAAAGATCTGTCTTTGTTAATTTGTCTTAATGATTTCATAGGTACAACCTTGACTTACATTTGGATAACAGAAGTGAAATTGTAACAAATCAAAGCAAAAGTAGAAAGCAACACAGTGATAGGTATGGGGTAGTTTTTAAAATCTGAATACATGAGTAAAGACACCAACAAAGAGAAAATGTCTGATGCTTAGATCAGGAGAAAGTATAATTTTTTAAGGGGAAGGGAAGTTTGTCAGCCCTAATCAACGTATGTGAGGAGTGGCTCCCTAGTGGGGAAGAGGAGACTGAAGGACAGTAATCTCTCTCAATGCCTTACCTGAATTTGAATCAAGGTGCAACCTCTAGCTCATAAATACAGAAAGAGTTGAAAGCTAAGAAACACTTGGCAACACAAGCCTAAATTCTGCTATCTTTGAGTGACAGTCCAAGAGATAGAATGTTACATTCTATCTTGCAAAAATATTCGGGAATATTCTGAGGACATGTTGTATGACATTATAAGATAGACTGCATAGATTTCTCATAGCTAAAAAGGGCTTCTGTTTCACGTGAAAAGAAACTGGAAAAGAAACTTCAGTGCCTCAGCTATGTTACCAAGCTTCCTTTGTTTCAATAAGCTATGGAGTTAGCAGAGCCACAGTAACTCACTAATCCTGCCATAAACCACCATAAAAGTAAACTATTTTAGCCTAAGATAACGTCTAAGGAAGCTATGGAGTTAGCAGGATTATGGAGTCTAATCCTGCCATAAACCAACATAAAAGTAAACTATTTTAGCCTAAGATAATGTCTATGTATGCGTTTGCCACATGTTTAAACAACGAAGCTCTGCTGATGTGCAATGATTTGGGCACGTGCCTGAGCCTTCCATGCGAGCAAATGCTCTCAGCTGAAAGTTCCATCTTTCCCAAGTTGTGCATTGTACTAGGCAACAAAATATCATCAGACAACTTTTGTTTTGTAATAAATATTTATTTTTTCAGCAAGAAAGATATATTCATAGGCATGTATGTATCAAAAGTATCTGACAGCAACTAAATTCAGCCTTCCTAAAGGGAGGCCTTCTCCTACTCTTCTGTCATGTGAAATTTGTATTGAATTACTTGCTCAGCGTGGGTGGACATTTCTAAGCCACGGTTTCCTAATCACATAGCCACACAGCAGCGCCTTTTTACAGCAACCACTTTAAATTTGCCATATTACAGTGCATTCAAGATTGTTTTCCCCCCCATTGCATAATCCAAGCCTGTATCTGCACCTGTCTTCACACATAAGGGTGTTGTGTTGACTTTGTGTCTGCCTGGATTACTTAAAACACCCTGCTGCTTCAGCATAATGAGAGAAATATGCAATGGCTGGTTTCCCACAGGAGATGAGATAAACCTTCAAAACCCTACAAATGAAAATAAAAGAACCTGAGGTAAAGTCACATTCTTAAGCGAAGCAGCTCTAGCACTAACTCTGATAAAGTCAGACTTTAACGTTCTGATAAAACCTGCTTGAACAAGCCACACCATGTCAAGCAAACTACTTTTAAATGGCCGAAAATAAATAAAATAAAATAAAATAACGCTTTAGCTTGCTTTCAAGTACATCAAACAGCGTGTTTTGAAGGAGAAAATGACTCGTACAGTTGTTGAAATGAAACTTAGCTAAGAGGTTACTTTTCCGTGACCCTGCCGGGGCTGACAAAAAGACGCCACCCCGAGATTTCTGCAGCAGTTTTGCGGCGCCTGCGCTGAGGGAAGCGAGGCCCGGGCTCCGTGCGAGCCGCGCTGGGCCGGCTCCCGACAGCCCGGCCGCATGGCGGCGGCGGGCCGGGATCCCGGGCGGGCGGAGCGCGGCGCTGAGGGAAGGAGGCGCCCGAGCCGGCCCGGGAGCAGCGGCCCGGGAACCGCAGCTCCCGCCATTCCCTTCGCGGGGCGCGGCCCGCCGACCCGGAGCAGGAAGCAGAGGATGGCGTCCCTTGACCCCAGGGCGGCACTGAAGAGCGAGTGGGGAATGATGGAGGTGAGCCGGCGCCGGTAGTGGGGAACCGGGAGCGGGCGGACGAGCGCCCGGCCGCGGGTGCCGGCTCCTGGCGGGGCGGGCGGCGCTCCCGCGGGCACAGCCGGAGCCGGCCCGGGTCCCTCGGCTGCCAGCCGGCCCTGCAGCTCCGCCCCGGGCGGCGGGGCCCGGCGGGAGACGGGGCGAGGCGAGGCGGGCACCGCGGGCTCGGTGCAGCCGGGACGGGACGGGACGGGACCCGCGCCTTGCGGTGAGGCCACGGGGCAGAGGCCGCTCCCGAGAGCAGCTGCCGCCTCCCTGCTTGCGGTAGTGCTGTGGGAAGGGGAAGGCAGGTGCCTGTGTTTAGGGGAGGGACTTGCTCTCCGCCTGCCTGCCCAGCACAGATGCTCTCAGGTGCTGAAGGGGTGGCTGAGTGTTTGTGAGGCGTATTTCGAGGAGCAGTTTTTATGACCTTTTCACCCTTTTTATTTTACTTGTTGAGGTGCAAGAGTGACACTCTGGAGAGTTTATCTGGTGCCTTTGACACTCAGACACTATCAGAATGCACCACCGATTTTTTATTTTTATTTTATTTTTTTTTTTTACATTTCATTGTGTACATTTCATACCTTTTTGATTGTGTTTTTAATGAAGTTTTTCATTCTCTACCTGCTGTACACAGAGTAATTCAATGAAGCCAAAACAAAGCATTGGGTTTAGAGACAGCTGCTAAAATAGCTTGATTTGAATTTTACAACATCAAATATTTCTGTATGTAACTGGTTGTTTATATATTTGTTACAATTTAAAGGATTTTTTGGTTGTAAAACATCTAAGCTTTATCTTGAACAGATATTATTTATTTACTCTTAATCCAACAGTTTAAGATAGTTCCCACTGTAAATATCTTAACTAAGGCAGAATTATGCAGTCTTTCCTTGGACATCTGAAAAATCCTTTGTGGATTTATAGCTGTAGTCCCTGTTTTAAAAAAGTAAGGATCTCAGTCAATCCAGATTTTGGCAACATAAATAAAGCATCTACGTAGCAGATTTCCTTAATATCATTACCTTGTGGGTTAGGCTTGACTTCAGATGGTAAGCAAGCTGTATATCATGTAGACTAGTGGTTTTTCAAAACACTGATATAAAGGGAATAGGTTTTCCTCTAAGAAACTCCTGTAAGACAATAGGTCTTCCTCCATCCTCCAACATACTGCAGTTACCACTCCTTAGCATCTTTGAGATGGAACCAAAGCGCTTTAATCTCCTTCTGGGGCGGTGATGGGGATGAATGGTTGTGGTGTCCCGTGCTGGCTGTGGAGCTCTCTGACTGCCTCAGCCATGGGGTGGCCTCCTCTGTGGTTGCTACACTTGCCGTACCTCTAGCTTTATCATAAGATTGTATGTGTGCAGTAAGACTCAAAATAGCAGGAAGTTGACTTCAAGCAGGTAGAACAAGTTATTTTACATAAAGCATCACTCATGAGGGATCATTTTCTGTGTTTTTTCTTCACTTTCTTTCAGATCCTGGCAGTGTATAGGAAGTAGAACAGGATGGCTGAGATTAGTTGATCTATCAAAAAAGCTTTTCTCAGCTGCCAGATGAAAAGGTTAATAGGAACAGCAGGGGTTTCTTGTTTATTTTGTTTTTTAATATTATTACATCAATTGCCACACAGAGGAAAGTAGAAGGAGTTTGGTGTTTTGGCGGGTGAGGGGCCGTTTAAAGTTGAGCTATTAAGATATTCCTTTTGACCATAATTGCTATAACGGCTCAGGTATTTTATCATGAGCAGTGCATAGTCAGGGAAATGACAACAATGTTTAGTACACAGGTCCCACGAGGAGGAAAGAAGAAACAAAATTATTCCAGAAGGAATGGTTAACATTTATATAGGAAAGAGTGTCAAAATTACTTCCATATTAAAAAAGATGTGCTGCAGACTTCAAAAAGATTTATCCTTTTGTTCAACTGTTTGCAAAGTGGTACAGAAAAATTTACATGCCTTAGGGCATGGAAAACATGCATTATTAATGTTATTTTAAAAGGCTCTTTAACTTCCATGTTGCCAGATGGGATGAGAGAAGTGTCCTGCACTGCAAATGGCCTCCTGTTTGACATTTATTGCTTGCTAGTCTGGAGCCAGCCTTGGTGGATGAGGAAGGTTGGTGACTCTAAGGTAGGTACTAGAAAGCTGATGTAATGTTTACATTCCATAGCATAAAAGGCCTGTGTGACACCTGGAAATCCTTTGTGTTTGGACACCCTAAAGCATGTAACCGCTTGTTGCTGCAGCCCTATTTTTATTAAGAATTCTGAGATTCAAAATTGATTTGCAGATCTTTTGATTAATAAGGCTTGCTTTTCCAGCCTAGATAATTACTTTGTGTGCTATAGGTCTCATATGGGTTTTCTTACATATATCTCAATTGTTAAGGCAACTTAGGAAATTAAGTAATTAAATTAATTTGACAAGGTTACTGCCTAATAACCTAACAGAGTGTGTACTCTGCTCATAAGTATAGTATTTCATTTCATTAATTAAAAGTTAGCCCATTCTATCAAAGCTAAAACGTATTGATAAATGTAATATTAGGGTAACCTAGTAAAGCAGAAGTTTCTTTTTAGAATGCAGCTTCATTTAAATCAGGTATTGGTCTATAGCTGAAACAGTTTAGAGCTTTTAAAGAGCTTGTAGCTTGGACTGAAGGAGGAGCTTCAGGATACAGTGAGTTCGAAGATGGACTGACTTTAACAATTTTTTGTTACAGATGTTTGAGAGAATCAAACCATCTGATGGAGCTTCTGCTTCTTCAGCACAAGGTAAGAAGTTGAAAAAGTTCAAAGTAGTTTTTGTTGCAGTTACATTTAAAAATGTAATAACTATCAATAGAAGTATTAATTCATTTTGTAGTTAAATTGCTTACTTTGATTTCTTAAATTTCATTATGGAACTTGGATGGAAGGAGTGACTTCTGAATCATCCGCAAAGTTTCCATGTAGGTGTAATTTTCTTGTCCTGTTGTAAGCTGTTTGAGACAGTTTACGTTTTATCTCAGTAATCATGGATGTTGCAGTACCAATGTAGATTGCCTAGTCTTGAACCCAGACAAATCAGTAGAAAATCTCACCTCAGCTATGAAAGAGTAAAGCTTATTTTATGAAGTTGTTGGGTGAACTTTGCTGACAAAAGGATCTCTTCATGCTTTTTTGAACTTACTAAACCTTTTATCTTCCTTTAAAATAATAGTTTTGATAAATGCATGTAAGAGAAGTAGCTAGCTGCAGGTGAACCTCTCCATCTCCTTGATACTCTGTTGGTTTTTGTGTTTTGTACATGTGTTCGGTTGGTTTATTTCTTGGTTGTTGAGTTTGTTTTTCTGTAGGAATCCAAAGACATGGTGTTGAGAGCTCTCCACGACAGGACAGCAGTAGCAGGTAAGTTAGGTGATGATCTACCTGGCATCCAGCTTACTGCTTACCAAAGTAAAATGGGAAGAATCTGCTTTTCAGCCTGTCTATTACCTTGTCTAATGGATGACAGTGACACAAAATGAATTAAGTGTATGGTTGGAGGTCCTTTGTATCTTACACCCTTGTATTGTTAAAAACTGTGGGGAAGGCACGTTGTGGTGCCCCAGACAACTGTGGGGTTGTCAAGTTTTTTTGGTCTTTTCTTCTTTTATTTCAAAATACTAACAAACAGACAAAGGACAAGATGACTGCCTTTTTCTTTAGAGGCAATTATTGTCAGCTTTCAGCTAACTGTGCTTTCAAACTGTTATCTTTTGTTCTGTGTTTAAGGAAAAAGTTCTTTAGTGAAATTTGCATGAGAATACTTTAAAATACATAGTCTCACCATTGCAATTCTAAAATAGAAACATTTATCTTCAAGTTTTTCCCATCTCTGTAGTAAGATAGATATTTAGACTTTCCATGCTAAGGACATGGATTAAACAACTGAACATGTCCTGACAATATTACCTGCTTCTTTCAGTTTACACAGAAGAGGGCAAGAACATCCTCGGCCTGGAGCCCCCACTGTGCGAAATAGACAAGGGTACTGCAACTGTTGCCACGTACACTACAGCAATCTGGAACAGGTGAGACAGCTTCTGCATAATTTGGCAGCAGATAGCAAGGGGTACCTAGGGCTTTATCCACTCATAAATACCAGTTTCTACACCAAACAACCAATACTGAGTGAAAAATGAGCAGTTTGTGAATTGCACAGTATGTGTCCTGAGGAAGACACCTTGCTTATTTGTTACGTGTTGTAAAAGATGCCGATGGAGTGGCACAGCTGCTGCAGTCTGCTTTTCTGAAGTGCCACACAGCTCTGCTCCATTATGGTTTTCTCTGTGTCGTTAATCTTGAGATCTCTATATATTTTAAAGTATTAGGGTTATAGTAATATGTAACATATCAAGGCTGGAGATGTTTGATCAACCATTTTCAGTTCTTTTGTCAGTCTCCTGTCTTATAGACTTGTTTAATGAGAAAGTAGAAGCCTATTTAATCTTCTGCACTTAAGAAAATTGTTGTTAATTTCAGTGAATTATAGGATGTTTGCTCATGTTAAGTTCAAGAATATTATAAGTAATTTATAGATACATTTATAGTATTGTTCTGGTTAAGAGACTTGTGAGCAGCTGTGAGATTTGTGAGAGTATTTGTACTAGTTAGAAGAGATTTGTCAGCAGCTCCCAGAACCACTAATTTAAGTTCCAACTCAGAAAGATGCTTCAATACATTCTAGTATTACTTGGGACTGACTAAACATACTTAAAAATCTCAATTAAGATTTTAAAATAGTAAAAGAAGTTTTTTCTTTTTATTTAAATATTTTCATAGCAGTGGTGTAATGTTTAACCTGGGAAGGAATTTTTAGGAACAGGCCTGTGTGTTAGCAGTAGTATTAGATTAATCATCTGTTGCATCTTTCACCAGCATATTTTCAGCTCCCAGCACAGACATTTTACAACATACTGTAGGAATCGTACGGGTACCAGTAGCTTGATGGAGCGTTTCCTTCAAGATGTTTTGCAGCATCATCCCCACAGATACCATGACAGCAGGTATAATACAGAAGGCTTTTTATTTTAATATGTGTTAGTGGAATGCATGTGTTTTGAATTTCTGTATTTGTTCTACTGCTGAGCAGTAAATTTGGCTCATTTGAGGTGAAACATGCTCAATGGAGACAATTACTTTTTATATGAAGACAAAACTTCACTAGTTATGGATTTGAAACAACACTACTAACAATTCACTTTTAAATGTGAAGACTGAAAAAGGAGGAATATATAGGTCAGCACTTACAATGGCAGACTGTACAATCTCACATGCATTTACAAATTCTTAAAATTTGAGCTTTATATGTTTTATTCTGAATATTTTAATTCTGGGCCTTACATATACTGCTAAACATATATACTGCTAAACAGAACACAAGAGAATGTATGTTTTGAAAGAGCTCATAATTTTGGTTTGTTGATTATGTCAGGTAAGTATTTACATGTTTATTTTTTCATTATCCTTGCAGTTTGCCTGTTCAATTAATACTTGAATTAAATTAATTGGCCAATTCATTAATGCTGAAATTTTAAAAAGTGTTCTCTTTATTTATCATGTGCATGTTTCAAGAGTGATAAGAGGATCAGTGTGTTAAATTTTTCTCTGTAGATGAAGGAAAATCAATTAAACCTCATTTGTTGTGTTTTGAAAGGCAGACAAAAATGCCAGTTTGATTCCAGTACAGTACAGTTTCTCAATATAGAGCTCTGCTATATGTCTTGACAAAAAGCAGAAGGGTGTTTTGTCTGAAAACACTCATTGGTGTTGTCATGGATGTGCCAGAACTAGCTAATATGCATGGCTATGCCAGACTAGCCCAGGATATGTTGTACACATCACTGCAAATAAATAAATTGTCCTCCCATCTTAAATAAATAGATTTTATTGCACTGTTGAGAACACTCAGTGTTTTTTGCTGTGGAGAAAATATAGGATTCACTTTAAGTCAGGCTTCTCTGGAGGTGTCACTAATACAAGGTTGTTGCTTTGGTAAACAAAACCTACTAACAAGGAAAAGCAATCTACCCATCTTCCTCTAAGTTGTTGGAAGAAGGAATAGAATGAGAAAAATAATATACAAAATCTAGATTATGTTGGAGGAAGAAGGGGCAACAGTAATCCCAAATCTAGACAGAGTTTGGAGGAAGAAAAGCAAAGATGGAAAAGAAAGTATGAATAGATTTATGCTGTGGTCCTGCTCTGAAAAGAAAGTCATGGTCTTAACTGACACTTGAGGTAAGACTTTGATTCTCTTCTTTCTCATGTTAAAACACTTGGATTTATACACAGTTTCACACAGTTCTTTAAATACCTGTTTTTACTGTTTAGATGAACTCGTACAAGAGATCTTTATGTGTAATTTTAAAAGATTATGGAAGTATTTGTAAGACTTGATTTGTTTTACAGAACCAGTATACGTAGTAGTTATGTGGAAAAAGGAAAAATTCATCAGAGCTTTGCCTTATACTGAATTTCAAAGGATATTGTTGCTCTCCCCCAGTAAAAAAACAAAACAAAACCAAACACCCACAAACCACCAAATCATTCCTTCCTCCAAACACTTGGTATGTAAGTTTTTTACCTAAGGAAATAGTATTGAGCATTTTAAAAAGTAAACCTTTATTCTACTTAAGGGGGTAATTTGTAGCAAAACTGTCAAAAGTTCCTAACTGTATAAAACTTTCGTTCTGTTCTCTTCCCCCCAGGGACATTTGCTTAAAAGTAATTTTTGAGAAGTGCTTGTAGGCTGTTAACTGACCTAGAAACCTAGGAGTTTGCTATAGTTTCTCCATATGAAAATCTATTTAGTTTTATATTCAGTCTTTCAGCAGGGTCCAGATGCCAGGATGCAAAGATGTTTCACACAAAGATGGACAAACTCCGAAGTCAGGAAGTTAAAAGATTAATTGTTGCATCTGGCATTCCATTTAGATCCTATTTCAGAGCTTAGGTGACCAAGAATTCATGCAAGGGCAAAGCAGCATTTCAGGTGATAGGCATTGTTTGATCATCTGATGTGTTTGATTACTTTGCATTAATTTAGTAATAGTTCTTTTTTAATGTTTCATTATATGAGGTTTCTCTTGGTTACTCAGCCCTATGTCCCTTAGCTGTATGTAGTCTTAGTTATATAACCAAGGAAATTACTGTACTATAAAATTTGTTCACAATACTTCAGTTAGCTGATGTCTGCCATGTATTAAAGTAAGCATCCGTTTGGGTCTCACAAGATGGTTATAATTTTTGAGTGAAACACAATATTCTCTTCTTCAGTTATATTTACATTTTTTAAAAGTTGTTTTCATTGGATTTGCCTGGCTGCTACACATTGAAGCCTTGTGGGTTCCTGTGTTGCATAGGAAAAATAGTCCATATCTGTCAGCTGTGTTAATTCTGGAAGACACAAACCCTTGTGTTTGAGGCAGTCTTTAAGACAGAACTGCCAGTTACAGAATGTATAAAAATCTGTTGTCACGGCAAGGCTGAGCAATCCTAACTTGGCTTCTTGCAGGAGTGAGTCAGAAGCTATGGTATGTCTGTGAGAAACAGTAAACATGGAATTCTTTGGCCACATGTGCAGAGTTCCTCTCAGGCAGCCATGTTTTATAGGGAAAAGGGCATTTATACTCAACAATGGTTTTATACTGTGTCCTATTATTATGTTCCATTTCTCTACAAAAGCTCAATTTTAAGTAATGGTAGTATGACCAGTGAAATCACCTCTTTATAGGCTTACCACTCCAAACAAAGGAAATACCTTTACTTTTTCTGCTGTGCTGTATTCATAAAATTATTGTAATCTATGTGAGGGCCATTCTTAATTTATGATTGCATAAAGAGGGTGCTAGACTAATGCCCAAATTGTTATCTTTAGTTTTGTGGAGCATTTCCCCCTCCATAATTCTAAAAAAATTGAATATCTGAGATAGATAGAACAACAGAAATAGTAATTTCAGTTTGTTCATTGGAAGTGATGCAGTCTAGGTAATGACTCTTAAAAAGCCCCGACACTGCTGTTGTTTGAAAATTTTTAAGCATATTTACAGTATTTCTCTAACCTGTTTTTTTTCTCCCCTCCCCTTTAGACCAACCTATGATGACATGCCATTCCCCGTCACTCTAGAGGCTCCTAGGATTTCTTGTCCGTCCTCAGAAGAGATGCAGAAAAAGAGAAATAGTGAGAAACAGGAGAGTTCCAGTAAAGACCAGGAGTCCCTTCGTGAAATAGGCTCTTCTGTTCCGTGCCTGTCTCGTGAGGGCACAAAGAAAACTTCTGTTACACAAGCAGGTTTTCAAAGACTTCAAAGAGACCAGGAACGTGTTCCAGGAATATCCCAGCAGTCTGTTGGCATTTGTAGTGATAAGAAATGGGTAAATCTGAAACACGCTCGAATTGCAGATCAGAGCCATGAAGGTCAGTCTACAGCTGTGAGCCCTGTACCTCAGCAGTTTTCTCTCAGTCCTACAAGCCACAGTTCCTCTTTTAATCCTAAAACAGGAAAAAATGTTATGGATTTGGCGGCATCAAATCTGTTTCTGCATAGAGGATGTGATGAAAGAGCAGGGGAGGACTGCAGTAGGGATATGTTATTGAAGCCACGCTTGAATCCTGCTTCAGCACTGGTTCACCCAAAATGCCCTTCGGTTTCTCATCGGATTCCTACACGCAGCCACAGCAATTCTTCCTTTATTACCTCAGGTCAATCTCTCTCAAAGCGAGATAGTTTACGAACTCAGGATGAAACTTTGGTGTCTGATCTCCATCTCAGGGATACTGTGGGTATCAGCAGCTCCCTTGATCTTGGGACATCCCCACGGCTAGCAAGATGCAAAAACATAAAGACAAACAGAGGTGATGAAAGTTCAGTGGATGAAACTATTGAAGATGTAATTGTGAAATACTGCCATGAAACTACATCTGAAGAAATCTATTTCAAAGAAGAGAATAATCCCAGTGTACCTTTTTCATCACTTCTGGACCATACTAATTTAGAGGGCTCTGAAATGAGTTTTGACTGTGATGCACCAATACAGGTAGGAACAGATTTACCCAAGGCAGCTATAAAAGATATAGAATTCCTGAAAGAAGTCCAAGTATGTTTGCAAGATAAAGGCTATGGAACACAGCTCTCTTCTGTTTTAAAAACTGAGTCATCAGAGAAAATAGAAGCAGTGAAAAAGGATGTTGTAGTTCATACCGAAGAACCAGTTCTTCCAGCCCTGCCTCACGTGCCTCCTTCTTTTGTGGGAAAAACTTGGTCTCAAATAATGTATGAAGATGATATAAAAATTGAAGAACTAGTGCGTGATTTCAGGGAAGGTCGTTTTCGCTGCTACTTTAACAGTGAATCCTCAGCCAACTGTACGGGGAAGAGAATGAAGAAAAAAAAGCAGAAGGATGAAAAAAGGATCAATATTATTGAGGGTAATAGAACAGAAAGTGCACCAGTTAAAGCACTGCCAGAATTTAATGATGCTTTGAGTGGTGGCTCTGATTTTGATAACCCATCTTTAGCCTCAGATACACTATGCAACCCACAAATTGTAAAAATGCCTAGGAAAAGGACGTGGCGCCTGGCCTCAAGGTGTCAGGTGGTTAAAGTCAGCCATGGCACACAAACAAGTCTGCTGAACTACCCTGTAGCAAAAAGGAAAATGTCTAGAAGGGAATCTGATCCAGCTGATCAGAAAGCAAGCATTGCATGGCTGGAGAATGAAAAAACTCCAAACATGAAAACTAGACTATGTGCCCTTAAACTTCCAGAGTCCTATAGCAAGATCATGAGTCCTGTACAGCCCAAGACAGTGGTGTATGTACTCTCGTGCCCAGAGGTAAAACAGTGCAAAGGTAAACCTACAGATATTCCCAAAATGAGGAAAAATCATCACTCCACAGATAGCAAGGACTCTGTAAGATATAAATACAAACAGTGTTCTCTCAAATATTATGACCCACTGACAAATCGAATTCTGAAAACACCTCCAAAGAGTACAGTTGGAGAAAAGGCCAAAAAGCCCTCTCATGTTCGACAGCTTTTCAGAAGTCTCAGCTTTGATGCAAATATGAAGAAACTAGCTGATACACAGAGAGAGAGCACACCATCAAAGTCACTCAATTGGTCAGACTTCTGTAGTTCTTCAGCATCTTTCCTGCCCGATCGAGATAAAGGTAGTGATGCGGCCTCAAGTCAAAAGGCAGATGGACCATCTGTTGCCACAGAAAGAACAGATTGTCTTGTATCTGAGAACTCTTTTAAACACCTAATCATTTCACCTTTGAACTCTGTGATAGAAGGAGATTGTAGATTAATTCCATTTAATAGAATTACCAAAACTCCTCTGACCTCCATCAGGAGTGAGTGGTTAGAGAGGGAGACTCCAAAAGCAATATGGAAGAGAAAAGAAGGCACTAACAAAGAACCAGTTTTTTCCAGAAAGGCTGCAGGATCTAAGTCTGTCAGATGTACTCTTGCGAGGAGAGGAACCAGAGTAACCACAGGCAAACAAACATCCAGGACTAAAAAACAGCAGAAAGAGGGGATGAGAAGACAACTTCAGCCTTGTGCCCAAAAATCTGCTTTCTCCATCCATAGGTGCCAGACAAGGAAAACTGCAGTGGGAAAGCACCCTAAGAAAGAGAAGCCTGATGCTAAAAAATTAAAGGTGAGGAGGAAACCAAAAAGGGCCTTTCTGAACTCAACAGTTGTAACAGGGATTCCTGAAAAAAGGCAGAAAGTCACATCAGAATCTTTTCCCAAGAAACCAGAGCAAGCTTCCTCCAAAGTCAGGAACTGGGAAGTAAGTGGAGATCGGGGTCATCCTGGCACTGTGAACCGACCCTCTAGAAGAACTTCTGCTGTACCATTACTTCGAAACTGTCTTGTTCTACCAGGTGAGAGCTAGCTACCAAAAGAACTTTTTTCTTCTTTTTTTTTTATAGCCAGCACCTGGAAGAAGGAAGGAGAAAAAAAGGAGGCCATAGACAATGCAGTTGAAGAGCTAGAGCTCCAGAAAGCGCAAAGCCAGTCTAATGTGAAATAAATACAACTGTAAACTCAGCTCTTGTTCCTGGAATATGGGGGCACTATGTATTGCACTGTTCTACTGTGTAAAGCTGCAGAAATTGTGGATTTGATTTAAAAGCACTTATAATCATACTTACTAGTCTTCACCAGTACATCAGCAAAATGACCTTGAATGGTATCATATTGTTATTATGGTATTATGAGTGCATAACAGTGCACTATAATAAGGTAATTTAGAAGCTGTGTTAATTAATTGTGCCTATTTTAATTTTGTCACGTAATTCTAAAGTGCAGAAGATAACTCAGTTGCTATGCTAGAAATTTAATGAAGATACATCAATCAGGGCAGAATTCTGTGTATGTATTTTGTGTTTGTGTATATGTGCACCTTCTTCAACACATAATATATACTTGCCTGTGGAATGGCATTAAAATTAATACAGTATGATACAATTCAGATCAATTCAATGCTTTCTTGAAATGAAATATAATTTTACACATTTTTGTATAGACTTTGTTCCTGAAATCATGTCCAAAGCTTTTTTTTTTTTTGGGCTGAAAGTCTCTGCGGCTCTCATCAAGCAATAATGGACCATGCTGGTAAGGAAATATGTTTCCTTAGGGGACTGTTCAAATGGTGGTAGCTGAAGTGAAATCTTGAATTCTGAAAGAAATACAGGGTGATGTTTGGGGGCTTTTTTGTTTGTTTTTAATAGCTTGTTGATTAAGTTTGTAGGTGAATTTCACATTCCTTAGTGAGGGGGATGGAAAAGTTATAATGCAAACAAATAGCAGTAAGTTGTTTTAGAATGTCAGCCTTGAGTTTGGGGTTCTGTGCTTTTCTAGCTTTATTTGGTGTAGTGTTGGTTAAATTTTTATGGACTGGAGTTCAAACTTTCTTTCTAAATTTTCGGTAAAATATTTAAATAAACCTAATACAGCATCCATCTAAATGTATTTGAGTTCAAATATTTGGTTAAAAACCTGGCTGAATAAAAATTATATTCCACAGAGATTCAAGTTCGGCCACTGATATTCCATCTACTATGGTTTTGTGGCAAAAAACCCTAAACCCATGGTGGTTTAGCTTAGTTTTCTTTCTTTATTTAATAGTTGTTATGACGACAGTTTATTTGCTGTGGTTAGAAGACATAAAGCCAGTCTTATGGATGTTTCTGTGCTTTAAAACCGAAGATTAATGGTTCATTTACAGTAAATTAAGCACGCAGTTAAACATCATCATAATCCAGGCTTTGGTTTTCAAATCTTCAGCTTGATATATTATATAATCTATTTTACCTTGAAGGTCTTCATAAATTCTCTAGTGGTACAGTACATTTTTCAGAACACAAGAGAAACATGGAAAAGAGCAGACCCCGCTGTCTCTGGCATTGAACATATCTGTGCGTTTTCCCCTCAGAAAATGAAACTGTTCTTGATTCTTCATTCACTTCTTTCTGAAGTGTCAAGGGTCACAGATTTGGGCTGAGATAAAGGTGGACTTGGAAATGGTTTATTTTAATATACAGTATCTGAAGGAAATATAAAAGCTGTCATCATAAACCACATATTCAGAGAATATTTTGAGGATGTTTTTAATGTATATGCCTATTTCCTAAGATAAATAAAAGATGTGCATGTGTCTGCTGGAAAATAAGTTCCTTTACAATTCAAATATGGTCTGACAGATTTTTTTATTTGTTTTGTTTTAATTTATTTTATTTTTTATATAAAAGTTGATTTCTTTGGACGAGTTTTCCTATGGTTGTCAGTAGACACAGAATCATATGACTGTATTGCAAGTCACTGGAAAATGAAGGGCTATAATATAAATTTTTATAGCCCTCAACTAATTGTGCCTGTATAATTTAATATTTTGTCTAATATAAAACTGATGTTTTTAAAGCAAAGTTTTAAAGGAATGGTTTTTATAGAAAGGCTAATTTTTAGATAAAGCAAAAGAAGATTTTTAAATAAAGTTTGTTTTAAAGCAAAGCTTTAACTATAGATAAGTCCCATTCTAACATATTTTTATGATACAATAATGTTTTCCTATCTAACTTCTTCCATCTTATTTTTCACAGTATTTCACATGTGAAAAGCATGAATTATTTTGTGGGTGAATAAGTTTTAATGCACATTGTACTTTAAGAACACTAGTGTGTATTTGTTTAGAGTCAAAATACTGTTCTCTGTACTCATTCATTGTACATTTGTCTTATTCCAGTGCACAACTTTTCCTTGAAATCTTGAGTAATAAAGATGTGTTGAGGACTATAAAATTACTAATATTTTTAGACTGTAATGTCTTTTGTTTTTGGTAATAGACCCTCTTATCAGGGTGGGATTTTTAGAAGAAAAATGTTATATTTAAATAAGAGTGTAAGTAGCTATATATTTTCCTTTAAAAAAAAGAAAAATGAAAAAAAGTATGTAAGAATTTATTAGAAGAATAAGACTTGAGGTACAAGTCTGGAAACATTTATGTGGTTGATGTTGGCAAAATAAGATTTACTGTAGGCTTGGATGTCAATCTGTGCCTCACTTCTGAATGTTCAGAAACCTCTTCTGTGCATGCTCAATGACCACTAGGAAAAAGAGGAAAGACTGATATGAGAAGTAAAAGCAGAAACTGCTTTGGAATGAGAATTATGAACATATTTGCAAAACAAAATATTGCCAAGATACTCAATATCATGTGCAAGAAGGAGAAAATTCTGAGGTCTTGAGAAATAGGCAAGCACTTTCCTGTTAGATAAGTAATGCAATTTCTGCCCTTATGGAATAGAACATTGTTTCATTAGCAGCATGGCCAGTACTTCAAAATGTGGTTGTGAAGTCTACAGCAATGGTAAACTTGAGAACTGAAATACTTTCTCTCCAAAACTGGTGGGTGGGTTGGTTGTTTCAGGGTGATATTTCTTGTTTCTATTTTTGTTTGTGTTTCTTTTTCCCTTTTGTGTGTGGTTTTTTTTGGTTTTTTTTTTTTTTGGTTTTTTTGTTTGGGGGGGGTGGAACAGGGTTATTTTAATGTTAGTAGACAAAGATGTTTTGTCAGTATGTTTGCATGTCTTAATATAGAGAAACAAGAAAAGAGCTGGAGTAGAGAGGAATAAAGTCATGCTTTTTGAATTAAATTGGCAGCAGTTAGAACCAGTACCTTTAATAGTTGAGAAGAATGTTACCATTTCTTCTTCAGTACTTATGCAATTTTGACCTGTAAGTTTGTAGTTTTTATTATACGTTTCATAATTTTTAAAAAGTCTCTCCCCGCATAAAGTACTCATTCAGCCTTTCAAAACAGTCTTATTTTAAGCAGATTTTTATTATTCCTTAGGATTGTGAACCATGGGTGTGACCCCATCATATTGTGCCAGGTGCTAACCAAACATAAAATAGCAATCCCCCAAAATTTTAGATAGCTGACACTTGCACCTCGCAGTTCTTTCTGACAGGTTTGTATCCAATGTTCTGGTAATTGTGTTATGAAAATACCTCTCTCTGGGACTCAGATAAATGAGGTTATTTCTGTTTATAATGAGCCTATGGCTTCATCTGAAATTGTGTTTTAAGTTTCATGCTGAATTTGTGCCCAAATGAGAATGTGTTTTGTGGTTTTTATGTTGTTGTTATTGATAATGTATTTTGCAATAATTTTGCTTGATGTTGTATTTTTTTATCTGCTTCTCTATCTCTTTTGTCTGTGGTTGTTTGACACAATGTGGTTTTGTAAGGATACAGTGATACTACAGACTCATCCAGTCCTGTGGCTGGATGTTCTTTCTCTGTATCTTCTGCTCATTTTATCCATTGTTTTTCTGAGTCATGTATTTGGATTTCTTATTTTTATGTTGTAAAGAGCTAAATTTCAGGGCAGTATGTTCTGTTTGGAAGTAAATCTGACAGGTGACAGAAGAGGATGTTGTCCCAGTCTGAAGTGCAGAGGGCAGGTTGGCACAGGTGCTCCTGTGCTTGGGAGCTGCTTTACATCACTGAACAGTGTGAAACAGGAGTGGGATGATGATTTTTGATTCCTTTGCCGGTCTTCCTTTCTTCTTCCCTTAGGGTCACTGTGCCTGAGAACAAAGTAATCATACTGGAAATGAGGGGTTTTCAGCTTTTGGTGTTTTGGGGACAGATAGGAAAAGCAAAATGTATCTCTTTCACTAATGTAACTAAAATCACTGAATTTTTGCCTTTAATGTTTTACCTGCTGAATTGCAACATTCCTGATAATATTTTTCAGAAAAATATTTGTAATAATAGCATAGTTCTGAGCATGCCCAGAAGCAAAGGTTTTGTTCCTTGTTCGTTTTGCAGTTATAAATTCATTCATTCCTTCAGCAGAACAAATCTTGTTTTAATAAAGTAAAGATTGAATATGTGCTTTTGGAGTTTCTTTATTCTTGAAGTGGAGTTTACCTTGAAGCTATTTACTGTAATTTGTTGTGGAAAGAACACAACAGAATGCTATGAAATAAGCTACTACTATGAAGGCAGACAGTCATAATTCAAACAACTGTTCACAATGGTGTGATATCTTGACTCAGTGAAGCCAAGATTCATCCTATTCTGTGCCAGCTGAAGCAATGACACTCTAGGATGGCATTGAAAAGATGACAGATACATTTAAAATGTCTAACTTCATTTTGGCAGCATGAAAGCAAGAAGCCTCAACCACATGGCAGGCCAGATGCTTGCAGCGCTTACTCATTAAGAGTTTTTTGAGAATGTGCACTTACTATATGAGGGCAGGGGCTGGAAGCATTACAGTCTTAAGCAGCTTTCTACCTTATGCAAAACAGTTTGGCATCTGTAATCATAGACCAAATTAATGCAGGCAGAACTCTCTTCAAAACTGTGTACAACAATACCTTTAAGAGTATGGTAAACAAATTATTGGGATGCCTTGAACAGTATAATACCTTGTTCTGTACATTTGGTAGTAATTTGCTGTTTGTAGCAGTGCCTGATTAAACCAGTGTGATTTTTTTACAGGAGCAACACACAGAGATGTGTCAGATCAGTAAATGGCTGAGAAGCAGAGGCATGTGGTTTCCTGAGGCTTTAGTAAGTCATAAAATTTCAGGACACACTTTACAGTTTTCAGTCCATGCTTGAAAATACCCATGTATTATGTAGTTGGCTGAATGAAGTCAATACTGTGCTATCAAATAGTGATTAACTAAAGAAATAACTGTTCAGCCATCTAAACATGGAGTTTCAAGCATGATACTATAACCAAAGTTTAAGTCAGGTGATTGCTCTTTCATGGGAAATAAAAGCAATTAACAATATGCTTATAGAGTGTAGAAGGGAGATCCAATCCAAATTGGTGTATTCCAGAGTTATGATGGAATTAATAGCACAGTTTTAGTTGGCTTGGGATTCATTGGAGTAATTAGTGTCCTAATTATTGTGTTTTGATGGTTCTGGAAGTCATAATTATTTCTTGGAGTGCAGAAGCATTTTTCATGAAACGTACGAACACATCATTATTGCAGATTGTGATTTAACAGTTTCAACATTTCTAAACTTAGGTTCTTTTTTGTCAGTGTTCTACCCTTAAGAAAAACTGAAAAACAGCTTTTCCCAAATATTGGGATTCATAAGCAGGCTTTTCAGTATCACACATCCTCAAATATAATTGTGTTTTAATGTTTTAAATCTGGTCACCTTCTCATATTTGCTGTGTCATACTGCATTAATGTTGGCACTGGTGCATCTGAAAATGTTGGTTATAGCTTACTGAGTTATGATTAATATTGCACAAAAAAGTTGCAGAATCAAAATACACCCTTGCTAGCTCATGCAGAGAGCTTAAATACTGTGCTGGCCTGGAGATTGTGCTGTGAGAATGAACAGAGAAGCTGAAGCTGTGGATGCAAGGCATGTGTATGTCTTGCTTTTTATTACACTGAAATTTTAAGATGAAGAGGGATGTAGAAGTGATGCATAAGACTTAAATATGTATTTTAGATTGAAACTAGATCAATGAATATTCAGCTTCAGAGGGTTTTGGTTTCATTTGGTTTGGTTTTTAGTGTTTATTTTATCTGAACCTTGGCAAACAGTTGTCAAAATCCATCTACTCCTATAGTGGTGCAGCTCAGAATCTATCACTCACTCTTCTGGTATGTTACTTTTATTTGCTTAATGCATGGATAATACTTCTCTTTACTGCTGCTTGTTTCATATTTTCAGAACTGGTAAGAGGGGAGAAATGTTTGTAACAAAGGTTGTGCATGTACATCTTGTTGAAGGCTAAAGAGAAAAGTTGTAAGGCAGTGCATGGCTACCCTTTTGGCTCTCCACATGCCAAAAGGAGCTTTCTTAAAATTCAGGTCTAATGATGAGTAATAAATCAATTGTCCAAATGGTGATAGAAACACTTTTCATTTTATTGGCATTAGTTGCAATCTGCATATAACTAAAAATAAACATACTGACTTTTTGGTGACAGATATTTTGTAGATTTCTAAATGTATCTAGTGCTTTAATTTTTCGATCTGTTCTAGCAAATTGCCATTTCCAGAGTTATTGCCAACACACTCTAGTTCTGATTGAATCTGGAGTCAGGGTAATAATGGAGTCAAAGTCAGCATATTTTTACCTACCACAATTAGTTACTGTTCATGCAGCACTTTCTGTAGATGTAAAGAACTCTTAAGTGTTTAATATTATCAAGAATTATCTTCTGTATTATTCTTATTTTAGGCATTAGTGTTAAATTTATTTTTAAAAATGCATGGATACATTTATATTTTTGTGAATATAAATGTGTATTTGTCATTGATAAGCATAATCTTTTTTATTTTTAGAGCTCAAAGGAGAGCACTAATGAAACAGTATTTTACGTATTTTTATTTCCAATTATACAGAGACTATTAACTTTTTCTGTGCTTAGCAAATTTCTGTTTTCCTCCCTCACACTCCACCATTTTAAAATAAGAATTCATCTGCAATGCAGAGTTCTCCATCTTTATTTTCTTAGAGTAGGGTTTGATGACTGTCATTCGGCTGTATCACAAAGATAGTTTTATGTAATTATGTAGTTATTGCATATGCCTTCATAACTGCCTTTGCCTTTTCATGGAAGCTGTAAAGGGGAGCCAAGGATCTCTGTCTGGCCCTTGTCCTTTTGTCTTGTTTTATTGCCTACCCCATCCTCCTTGAGCTCCCTATGCAGCCAGTGCCTCAGCTCCCCTCTTTACCTTTATTTCATTGAGCTCTACGCTGTGTTGGAAAACAACCATTTTATTTATTTTTAACCAGTTTTTCCTGTAAGGCTCACATTCTAGTGCATGTGTGGGGAAACAACAAAATTCTGACTTCTATTTTGGCAAGCCTTGTGTTCCCACCATCTCCCCATAGCTCACAGAAAGGACTGAGGTTGGCAGGCACCTCTGGTGACCATCTGCTCCAGTCCCCTGCTCACTGCAGGCTCAGCTGGAGCAGGCTGCCCAGGACCAGCCACATCCCACAGATTCTGGGCATCTCCAAGCACGGACATCCACAGCCTTTCTGGGCAACCAGTTCCAGCACCTGGCTACCCACAATCTCATAGTTAAAAAGGTTTTTATCTCTGTGTTTAAACAGATGTGTTTCAGTTTGTGCTCACTACATCTTGTCCTTTCCCCAAGCTCTGCCCATTTGTTCCCTGGGTGGCAGCTGGACCAGTGCTCATGGTCTGTGTCCCTTGGGGTGCTGGCACTGTCCACAGGGGCTGTGGAGAACAGGTGGCACTGACACCCTTGCCCAGCTGTTCCAGGGGAGATTTTCTTCAAGTGGGGAGCCCAGCTCCTAAAGGTGAAGGTGCCCATGAGTGCCTATGTGTGGTTTGCCTGGGTTTACCTGGCTTCTGGGGCAATTTGAGTCTTCTAAGCCAACTTCCTCAAGCTTGATTCTTCTTTTTATCCTACAGGAGTTCGGTTGGTTGCATTTTTGGGTTTTTTTCTTTTTCTCCACTAGATGTTTCCTTTATTCTTTTGAATATTTTAAGTTATATGGGTTTGCTGACTGAAAATCTAAAACTTCATACTTATGTGCTACAATTATAATTTTGTTACAAGTCTCTAAATGCCTTTTTTTCCTGTTTGACTATAGTTCCATTTGCTCTTGATTGAGATTTCTGATTGAGGCTTCTGTACTGAGTCCAAGATTTTGCTCTAACAGCCTTAGTATTAATTTGGTTTGATAAATATTTTACAAACATGGCATTCAGGGTAACTTGCTGTGGTTTATTTTGTTACAGCTTTTTTACACTATAAGTTTCTTATTGTTTGTTTTGCTTCTTTCTTTTTTCATGGACTTTCTTGCCTGTGTTCACAAAGAGCTTCTGTTTGGTTTCCCACTGCTGATAATTAAATAGCTTTTAATGAGGAAGGCTGGAGGAACAGGAGTTAAAAGAGGTGACTTGTGCTGCCATTGCCTTCTCCAAAGCAGGCTAGTGGCATTGTGCAAAAACCCAGGCTTTTCTCACTTTGTCACTTTCTTCTTTATTAAGGATAAGGGATGTCAACTCTGTAAAAATATAGGTATGTAGATTAAAAATCTTGTCGAACAGCTAGAATAGTAACATTAGATTAGCACATTTTGCTGCTGCACTGTCTCCTAAATTTGCTGTGAACAAAACCTTGATAAATTTGTGTCAGATATCAGAGAGATGATGTTGCAAACATTCCCAGTGTGAAAGCTTGCAATGTTTATCCCTCCTTTTATGCTTAGATTTCTCTTTAAAGGGCATTTTATATTCATTTTCTTTTTGTGTGAATACTGTGGCATGTCTCTGTCATCAGTCTAAGTTCTTTCTCTTAGTCCGTCTTAGATAGAATGAGAGTGCTGTATCTTTTCTTTGTTAAAATACTTATTCCTCTTAAGTTTTTAGGTGGAAATAATTAATATTTCAGTTAAAAAGTGACTTGTAAATCTGAACTTCCCATCATCAGTTTGTGTGTAACTTAGTAAATTCTTTAATTACATCTGAAGAGGTGGGGAAGGCATGAGTCTGCAACTCACTCTGAAATTTTGTGTAAAATACTTAAGTTGTGGTGGGTTTGAGTTCTTTTTCTCCTTTCTCTTTCTTCAGCACTGTTTTAAAAAGCTACTTTGTGCTTTTCGCAATGTCTTGACAGTCAAAATTCTCACCCTCTAGGTGGATTTGAAAGGACTGAGTAGTAAAATTCAAGCACAAGTTGACTTGATTTTAACTTTCATTTTCGTGTTTTTAACACTTAGAAGTGGACTACCATTTGCATCACAGTCTCAGCTTTGTACTTTCAAGGAAGAATTTTCTTTCAAAACTATGAATTACGAAATTATTTGTCTGTTAAGCGTGGCTGCTTGGTGGAGGAAAGGTTGTGGTAGTTTTTATTTTTATTTAAAGT